CCTGGCCGGACCCCGGGGTGCCTGGATTTGGTTAACCGTCACTCCCAGGGGTGCCTGGGAAGGAGCTGTGGGATGAGATTGGCATCTGAATTGGTAGACTGAGCAGAGCAGATGGCACCCCCAGCGTGGTGGGCCTCGCCCCATCAGCTGAGCCTGAAGGACATGTTGGCATCTGAATTGGTAGACTGAGCAGAGCAGATGGCCCTCCCCAGCGTGGGCCTCGCCCCATCAGCTGAGCCTGAAGGACATGCAGAGCGTTTCCCTGCCTGTCTGCCGGCTGAGACCTGGGTCCTCTCCTGCCCTCAGCTGGGGCTCACGCCACCCGGTCTCCTGGTCCTCAGGCCTCGGACTCAGACTGAAACCAAACCACTGGCTCTCCTGGGTCTCAGGATGGCGGGTGGCGGGTGGTGGGGCTCGTCCATAATCACATGAGCCAATTCCTTACAGTAAACCTTTCTATGGATGTCTAAGTAGGATAGGTGTATGTGTACTGTTTCCATTGGCTCTACTTTCCAGAGAACCGTGGAAATACCGCCTCTGGGAAGAGCCAGGAGGGAAAGCCACACGGAGTGAGGAACGCATATGGTGGGAGGGTCCCCCAGTGCGGGGCTGTGGGAGGCCTCCCCGGGAAGTGCTGGCACCTTAGGGGTGGCCAGCAGTTAAGCAGGTGTAGAGAGAGGGAAGTGCATCTGGCACAGAGAATAGCACGTGCAAAGGCCCTGTGGCAAGGAGACAGGTGAGTGTGCGATGCTGGAACAAGGCTCGGGGCCTGAGTGCAGAGAGCCAAGCCACGGGGCGTGGTGGAAGGAGGCCGGAAGGGCCGTGGAGGCCAGGTCCCGGGGGCAGGACCTCACCCGCGGAGATGAGGAGTGGGGTCCTAACATGGTCATCGTGGCTGCACTGCTGGTTACCTTCCCGTTGTTACCACCTTTTCCAGACGAAGCAGAAAAGGCTGGAGGGGTCTATTCATTGCCCACGAATGCCCGCCTGACACTGATGGTCCCGGGTGGGGCCTGGGCTGCACGGGCAAGGGCACGTGGCCATCGGCACGAACAGAAGAACCACTCGGGGCAGGCGGGCTATTCCGAGTGGATGAAGGAAGGAGGGGAAAGGGAGGAAAGGAACCAGGGCCGGAGGGGGGGGCGGGGGAGAGAGGAGAGATGAAAGGAAGAAACGCAGGAGGTTGCCGCCTAGCCAGGGACCTGTCGCAGGTGCAGGAAGCGGCGCTCACAGGTGAGAACACCTTGTTTGTGAAGGCGGAGGGAGGCTCTGAACTCAGCGCCTGTGACTCCACATGGAACATCCTCCGCTACCACCACAGGGACAAGACTTCACACGACTAGTGGCCAGGCCAGGGCCTCACCTCACCTCACCTTTCAGCATTTACTCCTGGAAAAGACGAACAAACCAGCCCAGGCTACGGCCCTTAGCAGCGGACACAGACTTCCCCAGGCCTGGGCCCAGTGAACCCCATCCCAGATTCTCACTAACGGCTACGCCTGGCTGGCTGCCTCTTGGTGGGACAATGGCGCCCTCTGCCGGCAGCTCCGCGCAACAACAGTCACAGTTACAAAGCCAGGCAGCCTGGGAAGCGCCTTCATAGCGCTCAGACCTCGGGTCTCGTCCCTGAGAATTGTTGGTTTTTGTCACTTTATTTGTCATTTGTTAGTTCTTGTTAGTTTACAGTTTTAATTATCATTGCTGTTTAATGTGCGTTCAATGGATCGATATTTCCTGGATTAGAAATGAAAATGGATACATTTATAAAATACGCATTCTAACTCATTTTTAAGCCCATTACACTTAGCATGGCATAATTTCATGAAAGGTAATTGTATTTTTTGACACAACACATATGTGGTGGGGGCGTGGCGTCGTTCGGTTTGGGCAGCTCTCCTGACGCCTGGCTTACCCGGAGGAGCTGGGCTCGGAGCTGCCCTGCATCGTCTGCTGAGATGCTTTGGCTGAAGAATATAACGACCATCTGGCGTCTCACAAACCTGCAGGTGGGAGAGGGGGAGTATCTTCAGAGCCTTTTTCAGGTCATTGTGAATATTATTCTTCAACGCGAGGCTCCAAATGGGCAAACGGTACTTTCTCGGGGGCTGGCTGCTCGCCGGCGTGGGGACACTCACCGGAAATGCTCTCCCTTCTGTGGCGTTAGCACCCACTGCTCTTTCTCAGGGCCCTTCGCTCGGGCCTGTGTCGCGTCGTGCACTCGTCCTTGGAAAAATCAACCCGCCGAGTCACGCGGATCTGTCAAATCTTGGCACAATTTCATCTAAAAAATGTCAAAAGATCCCATTGCTAACATGACCAGATGTCTCGTAAGCAGGTTTAATGATCGGAAAACTGTCAACCTCATGGTGGTGGCTACACATCCCCCCCCCCACCCCTGTCCTCATTTTCACCTGCAAGTTCAAATTTCAGCATCAGTAACAAATGCCGTCATTTTTCTTCCTTAAAGGGACAAGCTCACACCGTTTACTTCCAAGAAGAGTTCTGCCGAACACTGAAGCCGGGCTTTCTAATGAGATGGTTGTCGACGCACAAGCGGCTGGTTGAGCTCAAAAAATCCCCGCAAACGTGCTTTTCCTCGCACGCCGCTGTGGCGATCATGGCTGTTTCCTGCCGGCTTCCCCCCTGGTCACAGGACCAGAGAAGGTGCATTTACAGGGGGTGAGAGTGAACACAATTCATAACTCTACAGCGCGTTCTCGGGGAGCCTTTGTTGGTGGGTGCGTTACTCTGGGGAGGTTTTTGCCTTTTGCACGGTGGGTGCGTGCTGGTGGCGAATAGGGTGACGAGGACAGCAGCTGGGGCCACTCCGGTTCCCTGGGGGCTCCGGCGTCGCAGTCTGCTCCTTCCCACCCTTGGGACCGAGGGCAATACAGCGAAACAGGCTGATGAGATCCTAGGGTTACCCTGCAAGGAGCTGGGGCGCCCTGGGCTGCATGCCACACCTTCCGAGCTGCTGGGAGGCACCAACAGAAGGTCAGGAAGTGGGGCAGAGGGGAGGCTGGAGGTGTGCAAACGAGACAGTGGAGAACATATACCCTCCCTGCTCCCCCTCCCCGTCCCGATACCAGCTCCTAAAGCCCGTGTTTCCTGGGTGACAGGAGTGTCTGTTGTTCTCAGGAGGTGGCTCTGATGGCTCCTTGTTGGCGGAAAGGAGCCGTGATAACCTTGGGATTCCCAGCCCCCCTCTCTTCTCTGGAGAAGGGAGAAGGGCTGAAAATGGAGTAAATGATGGATCGCTCATGACCATGTGAGGGAACCTCCATGAAACCCCTAAATACAGGGCGCAGAGAGCTTCTGGGGTGAACACAAGAAGTGGGGAGCGCCTCCTGCAGAGGGCGTGGAAGCGCCCCTTCCCACACCCTGCCCTGCCTCCCCCCCCCCCCCCCCCCCCCCCCCCCCCCCCCCCCCGG